GGGGGAGCATAGGAGAAAGAGATAGAGGTTGAAGTTCGAGAAACAGAGGGAGTACGAGAGAGAGAGAGGAAGAAGGAAAAGAAGACCGTAAAAAGAAAGACTATTGTATCATTTTGGATATTGTTTAGGATATAAATATGTCATAAAATGAGATCAAATAGGTTGAAGAGATCAGAAGATAACTTTTTAAAAAAACTAATATAACTAGAAACATTTCAATTATCACAATGACATAACAAACACATTCATTTTATTATCATTATCTTTTGCAAAGCATAGTAGCTAATCGTGTTATATAAGTCTCCAATATTGTGATTATAGTCTTGAGATCATAAAAAGGCACAAACAATTTCCTTTTTCAAATAATAAATTATCAAAATTTCTCAAAAATCACCAAATATCATTTTTAACCATCCTCCATCATATTGAATTAGTTTAGCATCTAAGAAATATTTTTAAAAGAAATTAAGATCCTTAGGAAATAAAATTGGGTAATTAGGAAATCACTCAGCTAGTCCTGAAATCTTAAGTCCATTTTTCAATTTGAACCGGCATGGCTCATGATCCACAAAGTATGTTAGGGGTTAATACTTGACTCATCAAAGTCAACTCAATAAATAACGGTGATTATAGTGGATTTCAGGTGCACCTCCAAGGATATGCATTATTGTGGATGCAGGGGTCCTCTCTAGCACATGGTTATATCTCCCCTTAGTAGATTAACCTGAGCGAGAAATCCTATTTTTCAACTGCCATATGCATATGATACGAGAAGGTTTGATGTCAGGGATTTGGCTTACGTTCTCTCGACAACCTAACTTTCTCACACAGGGAAAATAGTCAAAGATACTCAAGCTCTAAAGTTTCACATATTTACTAAGAGAAAATAATACTCAAGCCTTGACAAATCACCATCATAAGGCACCATTATTTTCGACGTTGACTAGAGGAAACCCTCAACCCTCTTGATCCAATAGCCTTCACTCTCGAACCTACATCGGATTTTGTGACTCTGGTCACAATTTGCAAAGGTCCGAATAGTCATATGGCTCTTGTTCGCTCCGACTGTAAACAAGAACCATCAGGAAATGATGGGGTCAAGGTGTCAAAATTCCATAATTCCAATAGTGTAAACATCTGCATGCACATGCACATGCATGATATTCATAAGATATAAATTTTGTTACTCGTATGCAATGTATAACATTGGATGGCTCAAGGCTTGACATAGTAATTTACCTGCACGTTTCAAATTGGTGAGACTTGACCAGTCTCATATAAACTGTCAAATTTCATAAAAATTTAACAACTAGTCCACACGCGTAAACACTCAAATCACACATAATTTTAAAAGGAATTATGTGCTATAAAAAATCATTAGCAACTAAATGTGAAATCGGATAGCTAGTAGTGTTATATAATTCAAAAAAAATTATTTTAGTATGTGACATACCCCCGACCAACCAATTTCACATCTAAGGGCCAGTAATAATTGTGACTTCTTTGTACCAAAAGTAAATAGTCTTATTTTGGACATATTCCATTTTAAAATTATGTTTTAGACTAACATAAATTATTTTTAAAATAAATAAAATTTGTAATGAGAAATATTCTATTATTAGATTCCATATGAAATAAAGGAAAAATATACAATATACCGTTTACCTTTGATATAACATGGTCACCATCAACCCTCGCCACCATGAGGTGGTTAGGTGTCTGTCATTAACCATGATTGAAGCTTAAGAAAAAAATTACATGGCCCTTGGCAGAATGATGCACCTATAGCTATTGCTCTCACAGCTTTGAAGTTTGAGAAAAATATTTATGGCTTTTGTGCATAGAGTAACACATCCTCAATTGCAAATTTTGTAGGGTGTGTGTGGTCATTAAAGGCCTTATGAGTTATTGCAAATGAAATATATAGTAGAACATGAACTCAATGGGAGTGTGTTCTCGCGTGGACCATACTAAACAAATGATGTTTGTTGAGTAACTATCATCAAAAGGCTATTGACTTGGTATATAAACATTCACAGGCTATTGGGGTTCCCATACAATATTTGAAATAATATTATTTTTTAGAAATTCATAAAATCATATTTGAATATTTAAATTAATATAAAATCAATATCTCTGTTTTTATAAATCCAAATTTGATAAATAAAAAATCCAAAGATTTAGAAAACTTTAAATAATAATTCTAAAAATCATATATTATTAAAATAAATAAAATTAAATACTTTGATGGGGAAATGATCCATATGGTGTAGGAATAAATGTGCACTGGGGCACTCCACTTTCAACTGTGGATTACGAACCACACATGCTTTCTCGAACCGACTCAACATTGCCCATGACCAACAGTTTATGCAAGGGATCATTAATAGGTCACCAAAGTCTAGCCAATGGGTAAGGAGTCATAGTCTTAGTCGATTTCTGATACAATCCATTGCTCGATGGTGCACATAGGTTATCTCTCGCACATGCACACAATTCACCCTGAGAGGTGGTTCACTTTACCAAAAAGTGGCTATCAATGTGCATGTCGTGTGATGCTACGCGGATGAGGCTTTGACCCCATCTCTAAAGACCTCTATCACACACAAGGGTCTCATAGTCTCTCAGCTCATTCTTCCAAGTATACTCTGTTAAAATTCTGAATCCTCTAGAAAAATCTCTGTGTATTGATTAATGATCAAGAATATACAGAGTCCCTTATACATATAGGGCTAATCAGTTATTGATAGTAATGAACTAATCTAGGCTTATCAAGAGAAATATCTACATAAAATACAAGATAAACTTAAAATTAAAAAAAAAAAAACTATCTTCAACTATTTTTATCTCATCGACTATCTCTACTATCTCTATCTCTACACTACCCCTCAAACTGAGGTTGGGTGAACATCATCAGTTTGTCAACGAGATAGTCATGGCGAGCATGAGTCATTGCCTTGGTAAAGATATCTGCAAGTTGTTGTTGGGAGGTAACATATGGGAGTGTAACTTCTCCAGCCAGAAACTTGTCACAAATGAAATGACAATCAACCTCTATATGCTTTGTATGGTCATGAAACACTGGATTTGACGCAATACGTATGACGCTCATATTATCAACATACAATGGTGTAGGAGTTCGATGAAGAATATTGAGGTCTTGTAAAAAGCCTCTCAACCAAGTAATTTCACTGCAAGCTGAGGATATTCCTCTGTATTTAGTTTCTGTAGAAGATTTAAAAGCAGTTTGTTGTTTCTTACATTTCCATGAGATAAGAGAATCTCCAAGAAAAATACACCACCCAGTGGTTGAACGTCTAGTATCGGGGCATCTTGCCCAATCTGCATCGGCATAGGCTCGTAACTGGCGAGAAGAGTTAGAAGAGAACAAAAGACCTATATAATATGTAAACCATAAATAACGCATAATACGAAGGACAGCAGAGAGGTGGATGCGACGAGGATCAGCAACAAATTGGCTAACGACCTGAACTGCATGAGAAATATCTGGACGAGTCATAGTGAGATACAGTAGACTCTCAACCAGTTGTCTATAAAGAGTAGGATCCGGAAGTTTGTCGCCATTATCTTTTCTATATTTTATATTCACCTCCATTAGTGTATCTACTCATTTCTCATCAAATAAGTTGGCCAGTTTGATCAAGTCTTTGGTGTACTTCTTCTGGCTAAATATGTATCCATTAGAAGAATAATGAATCTCCAGCCCAAGAAAATAAGTTAACGGACCCAAATCTTTCATTTTGAATGATTGACTGAGAAGCTCTTTCAAGTGTCTGATATTATCTAGGTTGTCTCCTGTGATGAGAATATCATCAATATATATGAGAAGAATTGTTGTTCTTAAAGAACAATGATGAGTAAATAGCGAATAGTCATGAGCACTTTGTTTCAACCCAACATGCAGAACGACATGTCGAAATCGTTGACACCGAGCTCTTGGAGCTTGTTTTAAACCATATAAGGACTCTTTCAAATGACATACTGTAGATTTATAATTGCAATAACCAAGTGGAGGTCGCATATATACTGTCTCTTTCAAATGTCCATGAAGAAATACATTTTTCACATCCATTTAAGATACGGTCTACTGACAAATAGCGCAGAGGGCAATTACGGTTCGTACAGTAGTTATTTTAACAACAGGAGCAAACGTTTCATCATAGTCTATGCCATACGCCCGTTTGTAACCTTGAGCAACTAATCGGGCTTTATATTGCTCGATCCGTCAATCAGATTTAAGCGTCACAGAACAAACCCATTTACTGTCAATAATATATGTGTGAGGAGGACACGAAACAAGATCCCAAGTATCGTTTCCAACAAGGTACTGATTTCTGCATCCATTGCCTCTTTCCAACAAGGCATAGTCAAGGCTTGCTGGTAAGAGGGAGGAATATCCAACGAATCTAAAGGGGCAAATAATGATCTAGGGAGTAAATATAGATCTAGGTCTTTAAAAGGGACCTCAATCGTATCAAGAGAAGTAAACAAAGCTCTAGGCTGTAGTGAAAAGTCAAAATCATCAAGGAAGAAACCATATCGATCAGGTGCTTGAGGTACACGTAAAAAACGTCGTAACTGAGTAAAGCTATCAATAGGAGTAAGAAAAGAATTACTTATAAGTACGGCGGAGGTTTGATCTTACTCTGGTTGGTGAGAAGGAGTGTGCGTGGATTGGTATTGTTGGCCTTGATGTTGAGGTACTAAAAGGTGTGATGGTTTATCAATGCAGAAATTTGGAAAGAAAGGAGCAGAAGACCCTGATGATTTTGCTATTGAAGAGTAATAAAAGATGTTTTCCAAAAAGACAACATTCCGAGAAATATGTATACGACGAGTTGTTGGATCATAACATATAAACCCCTTTTAATTGGGACAATAACCCACAAAAACACAAGTGACTGCTTAAATCAAAAATTTTATTCGTTCATGCAGTGGAAGATGAACGAAACATACACACTAAAAAACATGCAAGAGTGAATAATCAGGATGAACATGAAATAATGAATAATATGGAAATTGTTTATGCAAAACCAAGGATGGGAGGCAATTTATGAGATAAACAGCTGTCGATGCAGCCTCAACCCAAAAACTACGAGGAATACTAGAGTCATGCAGAAGGGTCCTCACAACTTCTAAGATATTGTGGTTTTTCCTTTGAGCCATGTCATTATGTTGTAGAGTACATTGACAAGTTTTCTGTGATTGAATACCCTATGTTTTCAAAAATTCTTGAAAATCATTTGATAAATATTCCCCCTCGGAGTCTGACCGTGAGATTTTTACTTTGGTATTAAACTAAGCTGCAATCATGGATAAAAACATTTTAAAATGGTAGAACACTTTTGATTTATGGCGCATAGAGTATATCCAGGTATAACGTGTACAATCATCAATGAACAAAACAAAATACTTATATCCCATTCTGGATAAAGTTGGAGCAAGACCCACACATCACTATGAATGAGATGGAAAGGTACAATTGTTGTATTTACTCGAGTCGAAAAAGGCAAACTAGTTTTTTTATTCAAAGAATAACTAATACAAGATTTATTGATAGAATTCAAATCAAGTGCTTTATTTGGCAATCAACCAGAACGAAACAAAGTATCTAATTTATTTGCATTCGGATGACCAAGTCTTCGATGCCACATAAGCCATTATTTATTGAAAACAGAAAAATCAGAATTCGATGGAGAAAAGAAAGAAGTATTATGATTTGGTTTCTCAAAATCCAGGACAAACAAACGACCAATTCTACGCCCCTTCCCTGTCACTCTCCCGGTGCGTTGGTCATGTATTTGACAACCATCACGAGAAAATTGAACATTGTAACAATCATCAACTAGTTGGCCCACAGATATTAGATTGGCAGTTAATTTAGGAACAAAGAGGACATTACGTAAATGAAAATGTGTACCATGGGAGATAGAAAGTGAAAGATTATCAGTACCAATAATATTCAGTTTCTCCCCATTAGTGGTGAGAATCTGACTATTACCGTGGTATGGTTTAGTAGATGCTGGACTTGTGTGCACTCCAGTCATATGATTAGAGGCACCTGAGTCAATAAACTAAAGGGGATTTATACTAGGGGATAGGTGAGAGTTCATACCAGACAAGCCCATAGTGGAGAAAGCAGAAGAGATAGCCGTAGAGACAGAGTTTTGTACCAACTGTCGAATATCATCTGATGTCTGAGACATTGTCATATTTGGGTCATGAATAGTACTAAATGGAGGCTTCTCTACTTTTAGGCCCTTGGAAGCATCATTAACAGCTTGATATGTCCGGTACAAAGGTCTTCGTGTATTGAATGCCCGATTGCCTCACCGTGAAGGATTTCGACATTCTGTGATAATATGTCCAGCATGTTTACAATAAGTACACAATATTTTCTTCTTACACTGGGATGCTATATGACCATATTCTTTACACTCATAACATTGCAGTAAATAGGGATCCTTTTGTGATGGTGTTCCTCTAGCCCGTTGAACTACAAGTACCGACTCTATATCATTTTTTCCCTCAATGGTGGCTTAGGTCATGATTCTTGTTTCCTTACGAAGTAATTCACCGAGAATAACATCCATATTTGCTATTTTCGCGACTCAAAATATTGGCTCGAGTAACTTCATAGTTTGGGTGCAACTTCATCAAAAACTGCATCACCTTCCTGTCACCATTTATCTCCATTAAGCTCTGAATGCAACAAGTACTAGTGATAGCCTTTAAGTTTACATATTCATATTTTGTCCATAAGTTCATGAAACCAGCATAATATTCATGAATGGTTTTCTCCCCTTGATTATAGGAAAACATATCATACTCGATTTGGAAACGTCTTGCAATATTTGATTGCTGATAAACTTTTTCCAAATATTCCCACATTTCTTTCGCAGTATGGCAGCCTCTCATTGGCCTTCCAATAACCAAATCTACAGAGTCGAAGATCCATGAGATAATTTTTACGTTGTTGATCTTCCATTGTTGGGTATCTTTAGTATTGGGTGTAACCAGTTCAGGTTCAGTACCATCAACATACCTCCACAAATCTTTCCCTTCAACAAAGAATTGAAAATGGAACCATCAATCGGGATAATTTTTCCCATCAAGTTTTATAGCCAATACATCTCCTTTTCAGAAGACATGTGTAAGTTGTATCAGAACGCACAGACGTGATCAAGAATTTGGCTCTAGTAACTAATTCATGAACATAAAAAGGAGTTTTGATATAATATGGTCCCTATGGACCACCTCCTTTATTTTTTTTTTTTTTTTTTTTAAGGAACCTCAAACTTGTAAATTTACGACAGAACATAAATATTAATCACAAAACAAACACAAGATCCCCAACACAACTCAAAGTTCCCGAAGAGTCTCAGTTATAAAAAAAAATGGAAAGCTTATCCCAAAAGGCCTATCTGGTTGGATTAAAAACTAATCTATGATAAAACAAGAAGAAAGAGACTAAACCACCATCTACTCGTCTTCTTGGCTGTGCAACCTTGCCAACTTGTTAGTAACTGCAATGTCAAGCTGAGCAGCCCTCTCCACAATGGATTTCCTCTTCAAAGTAGACACATTGTGCCTCTTCAAAGTAGACACACTGTGAGCAATCTCCGCACAGAAAGTCCTGTTATGCATCAACAGGAGGTCCAGTTCATTGGCATTGTGCACCACAAATTTCTTGAAACCATTGGGAATGTAATGCCTTATCTTTTTGTTTGAGCCGTATCCAATGTTCGGCATCAATGTGACTCCCTTGAACTTCCTCCTGACACGAGAGTCTATACCCTTAGGCCTTCGCCAGTTTTCTTTAATAGAGATCTTGCGGTTGCTCTGGGGCCTCTTAAACTTCTTGACCCTCTTCTTCACGATCCGGGGAGCAACAGATTGCTAATGGTAGATTAGATATCACAATGGCCGGGCAACAGTGGATAGCTAGTGATAGATCAACCAAGCTCTGATACCATGTTAAAATTCTGAATCCTCCAGAAAAATCTCTGTGTATTGATTAATAATCAAGAATATACAGAGTCCCCTATACATATAGGGTTAATTAATTATTGATAATAATAAACTAATCTAGGCTTATCAAGAGAGATATCTACATCAAATATAAGATAAACTTAAAATTAAAAAAAAACTATATTCAACTATCTTTATCTCCTCGACTATCTCTACATACTTCGACCTTCCTCGGCTCACTCTTTCGGGTATCCTCCGACCTCATCAAGGGATGACTCATTTATCCCTTATTAGTTTGTTTTTCTATGCCCAGGTAATATGGGTTTTACCAACTAGACTGACCTAAGACGTTAAGTACAATCTAGTATCAACAACTATCGTTTGCTTAGTATGGTCCACACTTGACACTCCCTCTGAGTTCATGTTCCACTATATAATTCATTTACAAGCACTCATAAGGCCTTTAACGTCAACACACACACCCAACATCTCCCACTTGGCCTTTGAAGGCCTTATATTCTCTCTTCCTCTCTTTCTTTCGTCCCCATCTCTTTCACATGTCTCACAAAATCATTAGGTGCAAGCTCCTTTGCAAGAGGGTCAGCTATCATTACCTCTGTAGGTCTATAGCCAATCTCGATCTCTCTCAATTACATTCTCTTTCTCTAAAGTATTTTTCACTTATTATCTCTTATTACATTAATCATGGCTTTCACCATCAATCCTTTCACATAAGGATTTATGGAGACAACGTGTCGTTCTCTTTGCTGCTCGGATCTCATCCCGAACGTAGTCGTAGTCCATCTTTCATTTTGCATCATGAATCATTGACCTATTGTCACATAAGATCATCATATACCCTTATTGTATGGGGTCATATCTTCATGGGTTCAAATGAGTTCTTCAATGAAGCAGCTCCTTTCTGTAGCCATACAACTAATGCTACACATCTAAGTTCCATGACTGAACAATATTATAGCATGTTGTTCCAGCTGGCCTGTCAAATACTAGCGAGTGCTCCCACTGGAATCTTCAGTTTATCTAGATCTTTCATGATAGAGTACTTGTATATCTGAATATCCAAAAGCTAAAAAGAATCGTGGAACTGTAACAGCTCCCACTCAATTATTGCATATATAACATATACATTCTTAGTATTCTTATTCTTATATCATGAGGTAGTATAGCAAGTTTTATGAAATAAATATTTCATTACCCATTGGTTTCACAATATGAAAAATCTTCCTGAACCATAAAGGTTCAACCACACTAATCTTATTGGTAATAAATCCATACAAGTCAAGTTATCTAATCAACACAACATGTGTCAAGGAAGTATAGCAAAACGACATTCTTACAACATTCCCTATGGTTCAAGGTCTTAGGTATTCTAAATAACTAGAAACATGGGTCAAGGCATATGGGTATTAAAAATCAGTGCATGAATAAAAGACAATTTCTTCCCAAGTTTATAAATGCCTTCAAGGCTCAATGTTTTTCTCTTCAATTAAAAGCTATTGATTTGGCATATATACATTCACAAGTGGACTTTGAAAGATTATGAAGTTTTCTCAAAATCGTATTCATAGACTTAGGTTTTTCTCGACATATTTAATTTTAAAATACATGCTTAGTCTTCAAAAATCATTATACCGCATTCACTTTTAATTACCTACCAAGTCATGTTTTACAGCTATAAGAACAAATCATAAAATCAATGTTACAATTTTATCTAAAATAAAGCATGACTAAATAATAGCTATTAAAACTTGACAAAATACTTCTTATTGGTAAATATGAAGACTTTATCATGGGAAGCCCAATAGGACTTATGGGCCCACCATGACAAATTAGGTAGGGCCTATTATGTGCCACAAAGGGTGGCACGACCCACCTAGGTGGCTTTCTATTTTGCATTGGTCAAGCTCTAAAGCTTGAAGGAAAAGAAAGTAATGGTTTTAGAAAGCTTAATCCTTAAGGAAATTTTGCAATAAATTTTAGTTTGTAAGAGAACGCTTATGCATAAAATAAGAAAGGATAACAATATCATATATGAATTTCTTATTTGAATTAATTGATGGGAAAATAGTTTAAGAAGTGGGGGATAATGGTTCTAGCACCTTCCATGTGATATTGATGACGTATCTATGGAATGGACGTTTCATAGCTCTCACCCCACAAGTCATCCAAGATTAATTATGCATATTCAATCTCACATTAATAAGCAAATCATGGAAAACTCTAAGAAACCCTAAAACCCTTGATGCAATATAAAAGGGGGGAGCACCCTTCCCAATATTCTCTACACTTTGAACTTTCCATCTCTATCTCTCATCTTGGAAACTTTCTCCCTCCCTCAAGAAAGTCTAAGGGGCACACCCCACTCTCTCAATCTCTTGGATCTCTCTCTCCCATAATATGAAAAAGGCTAATGGTCTAGGCTATGGAGAGTTGCTATCTCTCAAACTAGGTTATCAAAGAGGGTTCACCTATGTTTGAGTTTTGTGATTGAAAAAGAGGTTCATGTTCTATTGGTTTGGCTTGTCTTAAACCTACTTTCTTGGATGAGATTGAAGGTTGACCATTAGATCCCGCGCCATCAAAAGGTGGTGACTCGGTGTGGAGTGTAAGAATCCTAGTTGAGGTATGTGTCTCTTATTCTGTGGCATAGGTTATGTCTTTTCTTTGTTATTAAAAGAAAGGTTTTGAATGGCTTCAAGTTCTTGAGATCCTAGTTGTATTCTTTTTTTATTTATTTATTTGAAGTTATTTTATTGTAAAAAGACTACTTGTAAGTGATCTAAGCTGAGAAGAAAAAATGAACAAGAATTTTTTAAGAAAGAATATATACTCCGGCTAGATCGCATTAGTCCACATCTGATGGCTGTGGGAGATTGTAATATTCTTCAAAATAATAGGCTTATAGTACACAATCCCAATAGAAAATTAAGGGATTTTCAATTTGGGTTTTTTTCTCAAGGGTGTGGTTGAAAGGTTGCAATATTAGACAATCCAATTAAAACGCGCCTCCAAATTTTATTATAAAATGTAATTTTGGTGTAAAATTTTTTTAGGATTATCTGAAAATCTATTTTCATATCTAATTATAAGATTTTAAACTCAAAATAAAATCAAATAGATCTATAACATATGAAAATATTAAAAATGGACGGTCTAGATAATGTGTTGCGAGATGCACTATTTTTGGGACTCAAAATCTTTTTTTTTCTCATATTCCTACATCTCGATGTGAGATGATTAATTAGAGGGTCTTTCAGCCTTAAAATAATATTTTCCGATGGATTTTTTTAAGCTGCATACGCAATTCTACATTTTAAGGTTGCAACCTTATACAAACTTTTGCCTTTTCGAAATGCCCCTGGATTAAAACTCCAAGTTGACAACCGAAATTTTTCTTTCTTTGGTGGTCGGAATCAAAGTTTCAACATATTTTTTTTATAAAAAAGAATGGGTTGGAAGTTGGAGATCCAACCAGGTCATTCAAAAACCAATATAGGTTTTCAAGACCGGACCGAAACTTCACGTTCCAGCCCAGGTTTTTTTTCAAAAGCAAAAAAAACTGTGTAAGGGGAAGTTGGAGATATGTGCCAAACATTCAAAAACAAACAAAAACAGTTTTTATGATCACATGGGTACTTCATATTCCAACCCTTTTTTTTAGAAAAATCTAAGTTGGAAGTTGGGACCTGGTTATTCAGAAAATAAATTTAATTATTTAATTGAATGTGAACTTTATGTTTAGACCTCATGTTTCTTAAACAAAGTGTCAAAACTTGCAGTCCCAACTCAAAACTAAGCAAGAGAAAAAAGATTTGGGGGCATTTTAGAATAATAAAAAAGTAATGAAAAAAAGAATACGAGTGTATAGAGATTTCTAAATGCCAACTAAGAACTCAAATTTCTCAATTCCCAAAAATTCAATTCCTTAAAAATTTACTAGGATTATCCCTTAAAAATTATGTTATTAAAATAATCCCAAAAAACATATGTTGTTACATTCATACCCAAATTCTGTTATTAAAGTTACTATATTTTTTTAAAATAACCAAATTGCCCATACTTCGTCAGAAGTTTACTGTTGAAAATAAAATTTTGGATCTTGATCATAATTTTTTATTGATTAAGAATCTCTTGTTTGTACTCCAAAATTATAAAATACTCCTCCATACCACTTTTTGAACTTGGAGCTATGGGATTGCATGCTACACATTAGTTGATAAGTCATATTATCTATAACCACGCAGCCAAAGAAGAATGATTCAGATAAGTTCATATCCAATAGCCAAAATTTAACTTCATCTTTTATTTTTATTTTTATTTAAATATTATATTTATCTAAAATTTAGGGTATAAATTAATTTTTTATAGAAAATTAAAAAACTATTATTATAAAATATTTTGCATAAAAAATAACGTAATTGTGTTTTTTCAATATTTTTTATTAAAAATATTTTTTAACTATTTTTATTTGATTCCACTTATAAAAATCAATTTAAAAGTTAAATTTCAAATAAATAGATTTTTTAGATAAAATAACAATAAATAAAAATTATTTTGTAGCATTTGGATGAAGCGAAATTAAATTTGAGCGCTCACGCATTTAAGTGTGGACACTATGCCAACCTTTTAAAATTTTAGAGATAAACATATACAGAAGTTCACATATGTCAGAATCACTCATCCGTTGGATTGTAAATCAAGTGGTTGTGAATATGTCATCGTCTAGGTATAAAGTTCAAATAAAAATTTCTTCAACTTCATGACAAGCTGTCTAATTTAAAATCAGATGGCTAGGGATATTTGTAAGCTCCTTGTTATAAAAGTAATTGAAATTGTTTCTTGTGAGTTGGACTGCATTCCTACATATGCGGTCCAGAAAGTGTAAAGCATCCATCTTAGGTGTTCCATCTAAAAACAATGGAAACTAGCGGACCAAATATTTTCTTAATAGAATTATTATTTATAGTTTTTAAAATTTATTTATTTTTCATATTCATGAGCTCTTTATTAGAGATTACATGCCCTTAAAAATTAGGACTTAAAATCCATCTCAAAAATAGATTTATTAAGATGCCTGCACTTCTACATATGCAGGCTTGGCCGCATAGAAACCGGGTCCAAAAGTAAATGGTCTCGTAGTATATAATCAGGGCAAATAAGGGATTCCAATAAGATGTGACAAAAATTTGTACCGAAAGACGCTAGGATCTTTTTTTAGCTTGGGATATTTTAAGATGGTGGAAACTATTATTAAAAAAGATCAAAGCTATTAAAATATCATTAAGGGATCCAATTATCCCACTAGCTTTTGATTTTGAGGATATTTTATTTGGGAAAGCTTTCTATGTTCCCATTATCCAACCTTCCATTTTCGAATGGAGGGCTAAGATTGCCTCAATTACAATGTCACATCTCTATACTGTTTTATTTTTAATTTTTTTCTATAAACTGTTTTGAGACCAAATTTTGGACGTCCACTCCTATATTAAACTCGCACTAACGAAAAATATAAAAAAAATATTTTCAATAAAATAAAATGACCAAAATATTCCTGAAAGTTTCGAGGGGTATTTTAGTCATTATTTTTTATCGAAAAATTATTGTTAATATTTTTTATTGGTGCGCCCCAATGAGAAGATGGCACGTACCAAATTTCATATTAAAAAAAATTGTATTAAAAAAACTAAAAATAAAATGCTTTGAGACGTCAGATCTAAGATCAAACGGTGAGTGGGTCTCTTGATAAAAAATGGACGGCTGGATGATAAGGGGGACATAAAACTTCTATGTTGTAGGGGGAACATAGAAAGCTTCCCCATTTCATTTTATTTAGATACTTTTTCAGAATTTTTTTAAAATATCTAAATTACGCTTGTTCAATATTTGAAATGTGGAACAATGAAAGGCATTTCAATAATTTCACCTAAAGAAGCCTCACCCAAATGATATAAATAGCCCTAATTCGTTTTGCTCCAGATAAAAGGCTGAAAATCTTAGATTTAATGTCTAGGTTGAAACAAAGCAAAACCATGCTGTTATTTCGATTAAGTTAGTGCCGAGGGCTTCGTCTGCCTCTCCGATCGAAGCAAAGAAATATTTATATATTTTTCATTTTTTAAGTATTTTTTTAAATATTTTTTATATAAAAACATTTAATTTATTTATATTAAATCAGCGATAAATAACGCGAAGTTGGTTCATTTTTCTCACGGAAGAAACTCCAAAAGCGACTATGACAACATTGGTTTCATCCCCTTTAAATCATAATTTCCAGCCGAAATTTCATTTAACGAAACTAACGGGATTCAGTTATTGCGCGCTCGTCTCTCTCACATCTCTCGCCAGAGGAGCATCTCTCTCTCAATCGATGATGGCCCCCTCAGCTCTCTGTTTCTGTCCATCGTCTTCTCGCTTTTAAGTTCTTCTCTTTTAGGACACCTTGATTGACCTCGCAGCTCAGCCCCCTCCTTTTCAAAAGGTGCATCCCCTCCTCTCTCTCTCATCTATGCCAGGTTCCTCGTATTGGAACCCCGTTTTTCTCATATTACATAGTTTTAATCATGGGCCGTAAAACCCTTTTGATGGAACTGTCTTGACGGTTTGGAGGAGTTGGTTTTGCGTGGCCACTGAGGATACTAATAATTTGGCAAAAGGAAGTCTAGGGCTGCCTTCTTGGCTTACTGGGTTTTTGTTCTTTCCCCTCTTCGTTGCCATCTTGGCTTTGCTTTAATGCTTTTGTGCCATTGATTCTTACTTTCTTTGTTGTTACATTGTGTTGGTTTCTTATTAAGAGCTTTTCTTTCTTCTTAATTTTAGTCAATATATAAAAGGAGTTTATAAAATTATGCTTACCCATTTTCTGAGATGTGAATGTGATTATGTTTACTGATTTTGGGACCTCTATATCCATGAAAAATATAGGGTTATTGACTGTTTTGTCGATCGTTGGTTGGTACCCATTGCCTCCTTCTAACACATGAGAAGAGTACTTGTGTAATTGATTCGTAATTCATGATATATTGCATTAATCTATTCAATTTTTTCAATAATAATTTTGGCATTTGCAATATTCAATCATTGAGAAAGAAAATTAAAAGCATTTTGCTCAAAAAGTGAAATCTTATTCAATAGTTTCTTTCACTGCTATTGTGTAGTACAAAACGGTGGCTCCAATGCATTTCCCTAAGTATCGAGTGACAACCCCTCAAACTCCCCAAATATCAGGAGCTTTGGGAAGGAAGGAAGATAGATAAGACTAACTATTGCTACACCTTGAAGTCATGTTGGGTCTTTAACAACCTTATCAAGGCCATGATCAAGTAGGATGATATCACCTTGAGGAGAAAGTGGCCACAGCCAATCCCATCTTTGCGAGACCCTCAAATCACTGGGCAATATTGTAGAGGTCAATGAATGCGTAAAGTAGATCACCACGATTCCATCCGAGCCGTTGGTGTGTAGTTCTGTACAACAACTACACCTTAAGGATAAACTGGGTTATTCTACCCCAAAAGGCACATGGGGTAAAAGAAAGAAAAATGAAAAATTCTCCCTGTCAGATCCACCTACTATGATGAAATTGTGCCCAAAGCTGCAAAGGCCTCAAGAAGCTATTCTTTCAATGGTGTCCATGAGTGTGAATTTATTATTTCAATGGGTATCAGTCTGCTTAAGCTAGATTGAAGCTATAATAAGGAGGAGTTTGGGTTGGGGAAGTTAATGCTTGACATTGTTTGATGAACAAAAAGCTTTCATATGTGTTTTGGCATAATGAACATTAAAAGAAAAATTAGGTGTCAAAATATGCCTTCCATTGCTCCTGGATCCTAAGACCGAAATAGGGCCGATTGAACACAAGGACACAATGCTTTCTTAGTTGAAGCTCGTATATATTAACTGGATGCTATCAAGCAATGTGATGCTAGATGGTTCAAAGAAGTGGTTGGAGGTGATGACTAGCTCTATGAGTTTCTTACATAATTTCATTTGTATACATTCTGGAGGTGATGAGTGGCTATGAGGAATATTACAAGGAAATTAAGGTCAAGCATATCAAATGGAGGATCGTGAAGATGAGAATGACCAAGCACTGAATGTGACGTGGGTAGTCATTTGCGAGTTAGCATTGTGCATGATATTGCAACATGGAAGATAGTTTGTTGTATGGTTGATGATATTATGTTAGGCGATATAGGTTTCTAATTTTTTACATTGGGATCATACTTCTTTCTGTTGATTTAGCTACACTATGAGCTTAGTTTGGGATCATGTATCCTATAATTTTTCTTAATGAATTTCTTATACAACTGGTTTCATATATGGAATGGCAATAAACTTTCAATTCAAACAAATGATCTCCCTCTTTCTCGTGTAATATTAACATCTTGTGCATAAAGGTTGGTTGTCACTATAAGACAAGTCAATATCAATAAATAAAAGGAATGTGGAAAAACATGTTGGTTTGTATTTGTTTGTAGGCATCACCCCCCATGGGGGCCCCCGAACAAGAAGAAAAATTGGGTTTGTGCTTTTGTAAATTGTTTATTTTTACACATATTTTTTATGAGTAGCTTATATCTTTAATGGCGAGAGATAGTACAAGTTAGGTACAAAGCAAATATGTGCCTAATCGGAAAAATCAATGAAATTTGATTTTGTCTTCTTAAATGTAAATTTTTTTAAATATAAGACAATTCTAAAATATATGTAGATAGGGGTGGCAATCGGGTCGTGTCGACCCACTGGCACGATAAGTTGACCAAAATTGGGCCCGGGTCTAGGTTTGGGTCCAGGTCCAGGTCTAAGACCAAGTCCAAGTTTTGGATCCAGTGGGTCGGGTACGGGGGTTGACCCGGCCTGGTATAAAATACATAAAAATATATATTATACAATACATAATTTTTAAATTTTTATTTAATTTCTAGACCTGGGACTAAGTGGGGTTTGGGTCCAAATGACTTGAACTCGGGTTGGGTGACTTGGACCCCATTCCAGTCCGGGTCAATGTGGGACTATTTCGGGTCGAATTGAGTCCGGTCCGGGTCCGGGCCGACCCGGACCACCCGGCCCATTAACACCCCTATACAATCAAACTAGCACAAAAAAACTCAGGATATCATGTAATCTTGACATTTGAAAAGCAACTAATTGCTTTATTTAGATTTCCCGAAATTTGAATATTTAAATTTTGTTTTCTCAAACATACCATAGGGTGTGCTTGAGAAAACAAACACTCATGTTGGGAATATATTTTTGGCCCCAATTTCTAGGGATGTAGCCTTTAGAACCTAAAATCTCAATGAGAAAAAAATTAAATACTACTTTTTTTTTTAGAATTGTTAACATTGTATTACTAAGACAGTAATAGTTACAAAATTGTGATGAAACTGAAGACACCCTCTAATTATGGGTGTCTATCAGTAAAAAATACATCAGTCATTCATGTACAAAAAGGCTTGTAAGATCCGCCCATGTATCAAGATTTACAATAGTTTTACAAAAAAGACCTAGGAGCTGTTGGTTGCTCGAGTGGGGGACAGGCTATGTATTGCGGCTGTGGTCCTGAACAAAAAAGGAAGGGGACCTGGCCTGGTTTTCCATGTGGAAGCTAGCTCGCTCCTTCGCCATGAGATCTGCGAATTCGTTGGACGTCCTCCATGTATGCTTCCATAAGATGTTCATATCCCTACATATGTAAGTAATTTCATAAAAAATTGCTGTCAATTGCCAAGGGGGAGAGATCATGCCACTTGCCCAAGATATAGTGTTTTGAGAGTCTCCTTCTGCAATCAGATGTGTGCCCCAAGATGGGTTGAACGTTTTAATACCCAATAGTAAAGCCATAGTTTCTGCGTATTGGGAATCATTAATTCCGAGATACACAGAGTAAGTGAGGAGGACATTGGGTTTCCAGGTGAGCAGCCGTCAAAATTTCGCTTGATGCTGCCCTCTGGTGGTGGTTGCCAATTGCAAGCTCTTGAGAGTTTTGGTGGCCTATGGTGGAGGACATTTTCCCATTGCGATAGGAAGATGTTCCTCGATAATCCCAAGAAGATTTTGTGGTTGACGGCCAAAAAGGAGGTCAGCGAGGTAACCTTATGGAAGAGAGCTGGTGGGTGGAGTTGAATTCCATTGAAAATTCTGTTATAATCCATATGGTAGCAGCCACCGTGGCCTTCCATAAGGTTTTTCCGGCCAAAGGCCACTGAGCTTCCAAATTTTAGGATATTATGGCCTGACCGTGGGTGGTGTGACCCATTGGATGCCAAAGAGTTGTAGCACAAGACTCCATAGCTTATGGGTAAATTCACAATGAATAAAGAGGTGTGGGTTGGTTTCCTCCTCACAAAGACACAAAGAGCATCTATTGGGGATTGAAATCCTTCTTTTTTGTAATTGGTCCACCGTGAGTGCTCTTTGGGAACAGGCTATCCAATTGAAAAACTGAATCTTAGGTGGGGCAATGGTTGACCAAACTTTTGACAAGATTGAGGTGGGGTTGAAAGGAAAGGTGGGGGGTAGGGTGAGGCTTTTATAGAAGGAGGCTACTGTGAAGAGGCCTGAAGGGGAGAGGCTCCAAACTATAGTATCATTTCCATTTGTTTGGGAAAAAACGAGAGGAAAGAGTCGTCGAAAGCAGTTGGAATTGGTAGGTTTCCTCGTCTGAGAGGTTTCTTCGAAAAGAAGGATTCCAGACTCTTCGTCTGCCTAAAAGTGGCACTTCCTCGGCGATAGTGGAGTTTTTGTTGGATGCAAGTGAGTAAAGGGTAAGGAATGCCTGGCACAGTGGAGAGTTTCCAACCCATAGATCTGTCCAGAATTTTACCCTTTCTCCCTCTCTAGGATGGAATCTTATGTGTCTTCTGAACTATGACAAGGAAGAGGCTAAAGATTTCCAAACCCCTGACGCTCTTTGTTTGTGGAGCCTCTCTGGTACCCATGTTCCGTCCTGTATTTTGTATTTGCGACGTAGCACCTGCGAGAGACTCAGGTTGAGAGGCTAGGCGCCACCACCATTTGCTTAGGAGGGCTGTGTTTTGTTTTTTAAGGGTCCGGATTCCTAAGCCCCCTTGCTTCCTTGGTAGGCAGATGTTTTCCCAAGCTACGAGATGGAATTTGGTCTTCTCTGCCTATCCAGACCATAAGAAATTCCGCATAAGTTGTTCTATGCGGTTGGCCACTTGTGTAGGCATCTGGTATAGGGACATGAAGTAGACCGGGGTATTTGCCAAGGTGGCTTTGATCAGGGTAACTCTTCCTACTGGGGAAAGGTATTGACCTTTCCAACTAGCAAGGCGTCTCTCCATTTTATCTAAAATCGGAGACCAGAGCCTCTTTTTTGTTTTCCCTAGTCCCAAAGAAGGGCCCAGATATGTCAGTGGAAGGTCTTGCACTTTACATTCCCAACCTGGGATGAGGGCTCTTACCTCCGCATTTGTCATGGCTATTCCCATCATTTTAGATTTCTCCATGTTTACT